GGTTGTGGGGACCAGTGTGCGTAATTGTCGAGCTCATTGGCATGAAAAACAGACAGAAAGTATACTTGGCTGACATTGAAGACCAATGCATATTAGGATTGGACTATCTACTACCGAGGAAATGTGTAGTTAACTTCAATAAAATGACGATTGGAAATAACAAAGGGCAGACTCTAATAAGTGTTGCTACATCCGTTGATCTGCATGTCACAGCACTTAAATCAACTACAATATCCCCTATGTCAGAGAAGATAATTTGGGGTAGGATAAAAGAACATCCCCATGAAAGCCCAATGCTTGTAGAAGCAGTGGAAGACCCATCAAGACCAGCGGATTTGAAGATTGGAAGGTCACTTGTAACAGGTCATCAAGTAGTACCTAAAACAGTGGCCAATTTCTCTAAATGTGAGCAGACACTTAAGGAAGTGGCATTGCTGGGTGTGTGCCAGGAGGTTAAAGCAAGGAATACAACTGTAAAGAAAGAACATACACTTCCAGAACATTTGACTGACCTCTATAAAAAGAGCATAGTTCATTTGGCATCATCACAGGCTCTTCAGGTAAAAGAACTTTTGGCAAATAATGCTGACATCTTTTCGAAAGGAGATCATGACCTCGGCTGCACAAACCTGGTAGAGCACAGAATAAACAAATGCAATCACCGTCCAATAAAGATCCCTCCAAGGAGAATAGCTCCAGCAAAGCGACAAGAGATAGAGAAGGTCATGGATGATCTAATTAAGGAAGGGATAGTCGAGAAATCAGATAGTCCCTGGTCAGCTCCCGTCGTATTAGTCCAGAAGAATGATGGGACCCAACATTGCTTTGTAGACTTCAGGGCTCTTAACAGCATAACCGAAAAAGACTCATACCCACTGCCAAGAATTGATGATACTCTTGAGCCAGGTGGTTTTCAACTCTGGACTTAAAGTCAGGTTTCCATCAAGTAAAAATGGCTGAAGCAGATAGACCCAAGACAGCATTTAGTTATGGCCAAGTTCTCTGGCAATGCCGAGTGATGCCATTCGGGCTCCGTAATGCTCCAGCAACATTCGAGAGTCTGATGGATAGACCTAGTGTACCTGGACGATGTCATCGTATTTGCAACAACTTTT